TAATATAAACATTCATTACATTAATAGTTTTTTATCCAGAAAGAGGTACAGATCTTTTACCAAATTTCAAAATATTTATATGCATATATTCACTCACTGGCCACTTTATTAGGTACAGCTTACTAGTACCGGGTTGGACCCCCTTTACCTTCAGAACTGGCTTAATTCTCCGTTGCAGAGATTTAACAAGCTACTGGAAATATTCCTCAGAGATTTTGCTCCATGTTGACATGATAGCATCACACAGTTGCTGCAGATTTGTCGGCTGCACATCCATGATGCCAATCTCCCATTCCACCATCACAAAGGCGCTCTATTGGATTGAGCTCTGGTGACTGTAGAGGCCATTTGAGTACAGTGAACTCATTGTCATGTTCAAGAAACCAGTCTGAGATGATTCACGCTTTATGACATGGTGTGTTATCCTGCTGGAAGTAGCCATCAGAAGATGGAGACACTGTGGTCATAAAGGGATGGACATGATCAGCAACAATACTCAGGTAGGCTGTGGTGTTGACACGATGCTCAATTGGTACTAATGAGCCCAAAGTGTGCCAAGAAAATATCCCCCACACCATTACACCACCACCAGCCTGAACCATTGATACAAGGCAGGATGGGTCCATGCTTTCATGGTGTTGACATCAAATTCTGACCCGACCATCCGAATGTGTCAGCAGAAATAGAGACTCATCAGAGCAGGCAACGTTTCTCCAATCTTCTATTGTCCAGTTTTGGTGAGCCTGTGTGAATTGTAGCCTCAGTTTCCTGTTTTTAGCTGACAGGAGGAGAGGACAGCTCTTAGCTGTGGTCTTCTGCTGCTGTAGCCCATCTGCCTCAAATAAATAAACTTCTTACAATATAGGCCCTGTTTACACTAGTGCGTTTTAGTTTAAAAACGCATAAGTTTTGCTACGGTTACACCATCCGTCCACACTACGCCGGAGTTCTCGAGCGCCGAAAACGGAGCGTTTTGAAAACGCTGAAGAGGCCGTTTTCATTCTGAAACGCTGCTGCTCCGTCTCAGTGTGGATGAGGAAAAACGGAGACATCTGAAAACGGAGGCGGGGCTGCTGAGATTCGCTACCTGATTGGGGCTTTTGTGTCATTGCGTATCCTTCCATTATTCGTCAAGCCTCTATCAGATGACTCTAACACATGGCTTTAACGCTACCGGAAGACAGTACTGTAAACAACAACATGGACACAGAAATGGGAGCGTTGTTTGCACTATTGTCTGTTTTAGGCGCCATTGTGCAGTTATTAATTTGTTACGTTTAGTAACAACTCGACTCCGTTGTCTGTCCACAAAAATACCTCTCTTGCTTTCTTTGCCATCGCGTTTAATGTTCAACCGGCGTTTGTTGACTAACAATAACTAAATGCCGAGCGAGACACATGCTTCCTGTTTATACTAAAACGTGCATGCCCAGAGTTCGCGAATGGTCACGTGATATACGTTTTTGGTGGCGTAGTGTGGATGGAGATATGTTCAGAAATGCTAGGTGAAATGCCAGTGTGGACGCGGATCATTTTTGATCTAAAACGTCGTTTTAAAACTAAAACGCACTAGTGTAAACGAGGCCATAGATACACTGAGGCCCCGTTTACACTAGTGCGTTTTAGTTTTAAAACGGCATTTTAGAGCGAAAACATTCCGCGTCCACACTGGCATTTCACCTAGCGTTTCTGAACATATCTCCATCCACACTACGCCACCAAAAACTCTTACATGCTATATGTAAACACTTTTGTAATTCTTGGTTTAGTATTTTGCGTACTAAGTTTTTTTCTAAGCAGTTAAGCTTGTTTTTATATGCATGTTTGCTGACGCAGTGGCGCAGTGCGTAGTGCTCTTGCCTCACAGCAAGCAGGTCGCTGATTTGAGTCTCAGCTTGGTCAGGTGGCGTTTCTGTGTGGAGTTTGCATGTTCTCCCCATGCTGGCGTGGGTTTCCTCTGGGTGCTCTGGTTTCCCCCACAGTCCAAACACAAACGCTGTAGGGAAAATGGGTAAACTAAAATGTGCAAAGTGTGTGTGTGTGTTGCAGCTGGAAGCATCCACTGCGTAAAACATTCATTCATTCATTTATTCATTTTCTTGTCGGCTTATTCCCTTTATTAATCCAGGGGCGCCACAGCAGAATGAACCACCAACTTATCCAGCAAGTTTTTACGCAGCAGACGCCCTTCCAGCCGCAACCCATTTCTGGGAAACATCCACACACACACACATTTACACTCATACACTACGGACAATTTAGCCAACCCAATTCACCTGTACCGCATGTCTTTGGACTGTGGGGGAAACCGGAGCACCCTGAGGAAACCCACGCGAAGGCAGGGAGAACATGCAAACTCCACACAGAAACGCCAACTGAGCCAAGGTTCGAACCAGCGACCCAGCAACCTTCTTGCTGTGAGGCGACAGCACAACCTACTGCGCCACTGCCTTGCCTGCGTAAAACATATGCTGGAAAAGTTGGTGGTTCATTCCACTGTGGCGACCCCTGATTAATAAAGGGACTAAGCCGAAAAGAAAGTTAATGAATGAATTAATATGCATGTTTGTATGTGTTTCATTTAATCCAGAACCTAAAAAAATGTTAAAGCAATAATGTTTAGCAATCATTCAACACAATTGTAGAAGCTGTTATACTGAACTAAATGTGCTGATTATTCTACATTTTATATAAACTTATTTTAAGCTTACAGGGCAAAATATTTCATTGCATTTACCCAAAAATTTACCCAACCGATTAGAGAAAGAAGAAAAAAGAGAAAACAGAAATATCTTATAATTAAACTAAAACCTAAAAAATCCATGAAACATTTGTGTAAAATTGCATGTGTTATTTTAAATCATAACATGTTTGAGAAAATAAATGCATGATGTGAACTTTTTTTTCTTGATTTACATAAGATTATCTGATTGCTGCCTGCTCCAAAAAAAAAAAAAAAGCAGTTTTATTAAAGTTTACTTGAGCGTAAATCCTTCCATACTGTAAACAAGACATAAGAGTAAAAGTGAAGGAAACAGAGATGTTTGTTTTCATTCCAGAAGGTGGTGATTTTTGGCACTTGATCTCATGTTTGTGTTCATTAAAGCCGCTGTGTTCATGAATGTGGAAGAACTTGTTCATTTCAGATGTGAGATATTGCTGATTTGGGCTGAAAAACATCTCTCCCTGCACGTTCCCTCTGACACGTCAAACTGAAGGCGTTTAAAGGGACAGTTCACTCAAAAAAAACTTGCATTCATTTTATTTTCAGCTCAGTATAAATAAATAAATGAACATATATGAACACAAACAGACCCTCACAGTCTCCCATATGTTATCAACTATAGAAAAACTGCACACAGCATACATTTCATCCTTAATTAGGTTCAAAACAACACAAAATATAGCCTGCAGTCAGTCAAAGCCTCTCATCTGTGTCTGTTAGCCTCTGTTAAAGAGTCATTCCATCATTGCCAGTTCATATTAGTCCAAAAGGTGACGATAAAAATTAAAACAAGGCAGTTTGTTCACGTTTGCTGAAGAAATAATGTGCTCCTTTTTTCCGGCTTCTCCTTTCGCACTTCACTCTCGCGTTTGTCAGTGTCTGACAGGATCGGGTTTCAAAAGCACGTCAATAATTAAGCGCACGTTATTATCATCAGCTCAAGAAGTTTGCTGTTTCAGATATAGATGCGCGGCAAGTGCAAGCAAGAAAGAGAAAAGGCTCGTGCTTCAGCCTGGATCGTAAAAAACTATGAGGCACAGGGTAAATCTGCTCTACTCCATGGCTTTGTGGCTGTTCATCAAGACGACGACAAGGTTTGTTTGAGCCCGGATCGACCATGGCTTGTTATTATATGTATATATAATTCTGCTGTAATCTCTCGGCTGTGTATTTTAAACATGGCGGGTTTTTTGTTTTCATTCTGACTTGTTGCGTAAGCGAATGACGTATCTCTGTAAACCAATAGTGTTCAGCTGCGCGTCTAGCTCCACCTTTTGGTACACTTTCTCAAGTTTGGTACCCTTTCGAAAGGGTGCCGAAAAAGTTGTACGGTACAGTTCGGTTCAGTATGCCTTTTGACAGTGAGAACAGATATAAAACCGTACCGTACCATTCAGTGGAAACGGGCCATTAGTGCTATGACTCCTTTAAAGCTATGAACCAGTGTCTTCAGAGAAACAAGCTCGTTAATATTCATGACCCCTCCAAATAAGGTCAAATCAAAGCATTCATTTTAGAAAAATTCAAACACTAGTTGTGACCCAAATGACACTATGCACTTATACTCTAGTTCCTTTATTAATTTGGGGTCGCCGCAGTGGAATGAACCGCCAACTTAGCCAGTATATGTTTTATGCAGCGGAAACACACTGCACACTGAAACCATACACTGTCATTTGCACTCCTACATTACGGACAATTTAGCTAACCCAATTCCCCTATAGCTCATGTGTTTAGACTCGACCCAGCAACCTTCTTGCTGTGAGGCGATCGTGATACCCACTGCGCCTATTTATAAAAACCCTATTTCTGTAATTTTTAAGTGTTATGTTTTTTGGTCACAACAAAATATAGCCAAAATATAAATCATTAACTAAGTATAAAAATACGATTATTAAACACATTTTAAATATGTTTGTAAGTCAAGAATAGAGCATTTGTAGCTGCAGTTATAAGCTGCTTACTAACGCTTATTAATGTAGAGTTAATGCTTAACAGATGATGATTTCACTATTTGCTAATGCTTAATAAATGATTTATAGTGTGTAGTTATTATAAAGTGTTACCTATTTTTTTTTCTGCTGTTAAACTCTGCAAAAAGTCAACAGGAGGGTTAAAACAGACGTCCTTTGGGAACATCATTTTGAAGTTGGATAAAGGGTTATACATTTACAATATTTCCCAAGGATATTGTAATATATTTAAAATCGCATCATGACACAAGTGATAATATCAACCCTGCTGACCTGTGAGTGTTTTCTGTGTTTTCTGGCAGGCGATGGTGGCGTGTTATCCGGGTAAAGGCACGGGTTATGTGCGCCATGTGGACAACCCGAATGGCGATGGGAGATGCGTCACGTGCATTTATTATCTTAATAAGAATTGGGATGCCAAGGTATGCAAGAAATCACAGATGTTATTTAATCCTCAAAGCTTCGACCTGAAAAAAAATTGTTATTAAAAGGGACTCTCAAAATACACATTTGTTTACGTTTTTTTTTTCTTCTATTATTATTATTTAGTTTGACTAATTAACCTAGTTAAGCCTTTAAATGTCACTGTAAGCTGAATACTAGTATCTTGAAGAATATTTAGTCAAATATTATGTGCTTCCATCATGAAAAGACAAAGGAAATTAGTTATTAAAACTAATGCTAAAAATTAATACGTTAACAGTGTTATAAATTCAGATGTCTTTATTTATTTCATTCATTTATTTTCCGTCAGCTTAGTCCCTTATTTATCAGTGGAATGAACCACCAACTAATCCAGTGTATGTTTTACACAACATATGCCCTTCCAGCAGCAACCCTGAACTGGAAAACACCTATACACTTTCACATTCACACACACACACACTCGTACACTACGGACAATTTAGTTTATTTAATAAATAAACTAAGGAGGAAACCCACGCCAACACGGGGAGAACATGCAAACTCCACACAGAAATCCCAACTGGTCCAGCCAGGACTTGAACCAGCGACTTTCTTGCTGTGAGGCGACTGTGCTAACCACTGAGCCACTGCCCAATTTCATTCATTCCAATGAAGTAAAAAAAAAGGTTTCTGAAAAAGTCTAAAAACAGAGGTCAATTATTTTTACAGCAGAACTCTTCATGTTTTGATTTCATACAATATTATACTTACACAAATCAAGTTTCTTATGTTGTGCTTTGATTATATATGGAATCAAATATGGAAAATATTATATAAAATATTATCCAGACTAAAACTGGAGTTTTGTTTAGTAATGTAACACTCACCGGCCACTTTAATAGGTACACCTGTCCAGCTGCTCGTTAATACGAATTTCTAATCAGCCAATCACATGGCAGCAACTCAATGCATTTAGGCATGTAGACATGGTCAAGACGATCTGCTGCACCAACATCATGAAAGCATGAATCCATCCTGCCTTGTATCAGCGGTTCAGGCTGGTGTATTGTTGCTGACCATGTCCACCACAGTGTACCCATCTTCTGATGGCTACTTCCAGCAGAATAACGCACCATAAAGCGTGAATCATCTCAAACTGGTTTCTTGAACATGACAATGAGTTCACTGTACTCAAATGGCCTCCACAGTCACCAGAGCTCAATCCAATAGAGCACCTTTGGGATGTGATGGAACGGGAGATTGGCATCATGGATGTGCAGCCAACAAATCTGCAGCAACTGCGTGATGCTATCATGTCAATATGGAGCAAAATCTCTGAGGAATATTTCCAGTACCCTGCTGAATCTCTGCCATAAATGATTAAGGAAGTTTTAAAGGAATAAGGGATCCGACTGGGTACTAGTAAGGTGTACCTAATAAAGTGGCCGGTGAGAATATTTGTATATATAGTATTTTAAATGTACAAAAAATAAATAAATAAATAAATAATAATAATAAATACACACACACACACACACACACAAGAATAAACTAATATTGTGCATCAGTACAGTACCATTTATTTGCAATTCATTCATTTATTTTATTTTCGGGCGCCACAGCGGAATGAACCGCCAACTTATCCAGCATGTTATTACGCAGCGGATGCCCTTCCAGCCGCAACCCATCACTGGGAAACATAAATACACACTCATTCACTCTCATACACTATGGACAATTTAGGACAATTTACCCAATTCACCTGTACCACATCTTTGGACTTGTGGAGGAAACCCACGCGAACGCAGGGAGAACTTGCAAACTCCACACAGAAATGCAAACTGACCCAGCCGAGGCTCAAACCAGCGGCCTTCTTGCTGTGAGGCGACAGCACTACATGCTGCTCCACCGCATCGCCTATTTACAATTAATTTTGAAAACCAAACAAACATCTTGATTGTTTTGTAAAATACCAGTTTGATCACACTCTAGATTTTAAATGTTGAAAAAAAAGTTGAAAAAGTCTCAATGTTTGCTCAATGTTCTGAAGTTCTGACTGAAAGATGTTGTTGGCATTTTTAAAGCATGCTGTTTTCTGAGACGGTCATGAATGGCTTCTGCATACGTGCCGGTCGTGCTTCATTTCAGTCTAATCCCATTAACCTCTGAGATTGTAATCTCCAGAGAAAACCAGCAGGAGAGTTACTGAAACAGCTTAGAGAGTCATAAAAATGGAGCACGAGACTCAGTCAGAGGCAGAGACCATCAGTCATGTGATTAATGCACTAATACTGTAAAACCATTCACAGATTCTTCATGTGTTTCTTTACTCTCTGATTGCATTATAGTTTTATTTCATGCCTAATATCTACACTGTAAAAAATGCTGGGTTCGACACAATTCCTTCATGTTCTCCCAACACAAATTCATTAAGTTAATTTAGTTATTTTTTAGAAATTAAGTGGATTCAGAAACAAAGTAAGATTAGTATTGTTCGTAACTCATTTTAAATAAGTAGTTTGAACAAGCAGCAAAAGTAATTTGTGAATGTGTAAATAATGCTGGGTTGTAGTCGAATATGGACAAACCCAACATTGGGTTGATTTTTTATTATTGGGTAAATCTAACTTTAACACTTTATAGTTTTTTTTTCTAAAAATCTACTCTCAAAAAATATTTATTTGCTTTTACAAACAACTTTTAAAATGTTTTTACCATTTAAAACGAGCTGTAACAACACAATTCTTGAGATTTCATTGGGACAACTTGAATGTTTTATGTTCAATCCACATAAAGTGTTATGCTGTGTTCACACCAGACGCGGTAGGAGCGTCAAGCGTGAGTGATTTAACTGTTAAACGTGCAATTAGACATCCTGTGGCGCGATACGCGTGAATGGCGCGGCGCAAATAACGCAAATTGCGCGGCACGAATGGCGCAATATGCGCGAATGACGCATCGTGAATTATACGTATTGTGCGAATCGCTCGAGTTCAAAAATCTGAACTTAAGCGGACATTCGTGCCGGGTTAACCAATCATGAGCTTGCACTTGTGGGGGCGTGATTGTGACGTATGCCTGTTGTTGGTGTCCCGAGGGAAATCCTCCAGCCGACACCGACAACAGTGCATCAAACTGGGCTCGGCTCAGTCAGAAGCACCGCTGAAAGCCTCATCCAGCCGTCATCCAAGTTCAGTTTATGAGCTCATAGAGCTGGATGCACCTCTGAAAGAATCTATTGGACTCAGACACGGCCCTAAACGTATCGACACTGTTTTTCAGCCTTCATAAAGCACATAAACACTGTTATTTTCTTAATAAAATCCATGTTAGCCATTTAGCAACAAAGCTAGAGTCACCGGGCAGACAGAAGCCCTGCCCATCACGCGAATCCGCGTCTGTTCTGAAGTGAATTTAACGCGCGGATGAAGCAGGGTTTGACGCGCGAATATAGTGAGTAAACTCAAATGTTCACGCGACGATTTATCCGCGCTTTCCTCGTCTGGTGTGAACACAGCATTGTTGACTTAATGGATTTGGGTTTAGACAACATGAATGAATTGTGTGAAACCCAGCATTTTTTAATGCTTAAAAAGATTTTGTAGTATTAAAAAGATGTTTGAGGAAAAGCTGACGACATCAGAACGTTTTTATTTTCTCTCAAAAGGCAATGCAAATAAAGGTAAATGCTGGGTTGTGGACACCGAACGTTGAGTCAATTATAAACAAACTCAATGCTTAGAGTGTACCATATTTATAGAGAGGATTTCTCCCTTATTAGCATAAACAGCACTGAGTGAGAAGCAGCGTCATATTGGGCTGATATAAACACACCCAGTCCTTTTTTTTCAATTTAACAACATAAAAACGGTGGACCAATTGGAGCGGTTTTGAGACCGACCACAACTTGACGTAGGAGTGCGGTCCCCCCGCCCACTAATATTGACTGACAGGCACGCATTACCATATCCTCAGTTTGTTGTTTCACGTCCGCCAAAGAAACACCCTTGCTCTATTTTTGGATACACAATGAATGCAACATATTGAGATTCAGGCTATTAAAAACAGCTGATCCACCAAGTCTTTCAGCACTCTCTCCGAAAACACTCGATTGATCTCGACTGGCGGATCAACATTCATTACATGATCGCTCTCATAGGCACTATTGTTTGTAACTTTAGGTGGCTTTGCAAACCTGTGAACTTTTTATTGCGTCTTCCTTAAACTTCAGCAGTTTGAATTTCCCGCGGTCACAGAAGCTCCCTGTCATCGTAACTAGGTGCGGCTGGAAAATGAGTGCGTTCCTCCATTGGAAATAACAAACTTGCCTTAGTTATAGCCTCAGTCAAAGTTAATCCAGTGTGCATGGTTATTAGTCCCGGTGTACAAGCTCAGAAATTTTAATTAGCACACAGTTGGCATCACTTTGTTTAGTTGCTGCAGTTTTGTTCTGTGCAGAAACACGGTGTTGAGAAGCCTTTATGATTAACCGTGACGAATTAAAGCGTGGTTAATATTAATTGGCTAATCGGGAGGACCGGGAGAATTCCCGGTGGGCCAGTCCGTTTTTTGGCCGCGAGGGCCGGTGTCCCTAGCTCCAGAATCTGTTGCTCTCAGCAGTCACACTTTTTAAATTCATTATTTTTTTTACTTGACCACTTGACCACAGTCTTATTCATTATTTTACCGCAGCTCTGCTCTTTTTATCTATTTTCTCGCAGCCTGGTGATCAGTATGCAGCCTGCAGGTTAATGATGATATTAGTCAGACGAGCCACCACACAATGCACAGTTGATGTGGTCCAGTGGTTAGCACATTAGGATATGATGCTGCGGATCCGGGTTTGATCCTTGTCTGAAGTGTTTTTTTTTTGTTTTTTTTAATATATAATTTTTAAGACATAATACTTTTATTGTTGTTGAACATTTGAAGTTCTAAAGCAGCTGTTTTCTCAAAAAAAGACGTGATAGTGTAATTAGAAACTGAATTGGAAATGTCCTTATTTTAATATAGTCAGTCGTGAACTGAGGTGGGCCGGTCTGAGGCTTGAAACTCCAGGGCTAATAAGGAGGCCCACTCCGGCCCTGTCCCTATACGGATGACACATGCATCGTTACATAGCGGCTGTAATACTATACAAAGACGCGAATGATTTTGTTATTACTCTGACACATTCTGGCACAGTAGGAATATTGGTTCCTCAACAGTCGTCTCTGCTTGAACAAGCTAAATAATCTGCCAATTGGGTAAGCAAAATAATCTTGTTTTTTCTTTTGATATAAGATTATTTTGCTTACCCCCTTGGCACATTATTTAGCTTGTTTTAAGAAAAAAGCATATTATTTCTCAAAACAAGACAATATGTTTTGCTTGTCTAGAAAATTCTTCTTGATTTGAGAATTTTTAGATATTTGAACTCAAAACAAGAAAAAAAAAATCAAAGTAAGAAAAGCATTTTTTGCAGTGTATGTGAGTGTTTTCCGTGTATCATGAAAACATTTTGCACATTTACACTGTCTTGCACTTTTTAAGACCTCTGATTACACATTATTAAAGACTTTTGAGATGCATTGTAACCTGCATATGCACAACTGTACGTGCATTTTTTATTATGCCTGTGTTTGCTCTCTGTGTACAATTAAATGAACTATTCGCCCTCCTGTTAAAGTCAAATTCTTTTCTCTTTTTTTCTTTGCAATTTCTGTTTTGGGGAGAGAACATTTCTTTAACACATCTGCATTATACTCATCTCTAATAACTGATTTATTTTATCTTTGTCATGATGACAGTAAATAATATTAGACTAGATATTCTTCAAGACACTAGTATTCAGCTTGAAGTGACATTTAAAGGCTTAACTAGGTTAATTAGGGTAAAGATAGAGTAATTAGGCAAGTCATTGTATAACAGTGGTTTGTTGAGGAGACAATCCAAAACAAATATTGCTTAAAGGGGCTAATGATATTGACCTTAAAATGGTTTTAAGAAACTGCTTTTATTCTAGCCAAAATAAAACAAATAAGACTTTCTCTAGAAGAAATATTATTAGACATACTGGGAAAATTTCCTGAATCTGTTAAACATCCTTTGAGAAATATTTGAAAAAGAATAAGCATTTGACAGGAGGGCTTATAATTTTGCCCTCAACTATATCTATATGACATGTGTGTGTATGTGTGTGTGGTACGTGTGAAAAGTTAATTAATTCTTGCACACTCGGAGATGTTTCATACATGTCTTTTTATCCAGCATGAGGTCTCTTTTTTTTTTTCCCTCTTATCCCGGTTCAGGAAGGCCTCGCTCTGCTGCCGTTTCCTACCCTGACCTGCTCCAGATCTGCCCTCTCATTGTTTGTGTGCCTCTGTTATTTGTGCTAATGGAATTCATCTTTATCACTAAGAAAAGCTCCAGTCACGCACTGCTGACTCCGCTTTATTGTCAGTAGTCACGTTATGCCGAGTTCAGACTGCGTGATTTTAGCCCCGATTTTGGCTCGCCGACAGGTTTTGGAGAAATCTCCGTCAAATGCCTGAAATCACAGGCAAATCGCTGCTCGTGCACGTGAGTGACAATCACACAGTATGAACTATCAAAGACGCGATCTGAGAGAATCGCCGATGAGTCGCCGATGCCGGAGATATTTGGCCTGCTGAATATCTGGAGCTGTCGGCGATTCAAATCATGCCGTGTGAATTGAGTTTTGACTGAAAATAACATCAGCGATCGCCTACAGCCAATGAGAGAGCGGCATTCACTTGTGTGTGTGCGTGTGAGTAAACCTGCTGCAGGCCAGCGGGAGGCTGGGGGAGAAGTTAAAAGCGCTCTTTTCGGTTTATTTGGACCCATGAAATGGAGGAAAAACTAGTGGAGGTTTGACAGAACCGTGTCTGTTTGACGTTTCATACAGAAAGTTAAATAAGAAAGTTGAAGAGAAATGGCTAATTTCCTTTAAACCCAGGTGAGCAAACATGTACATTTTCTACCCCATTAAAGGCTTCTTTCTCATTATGTAGTTAATAACAAAAGATATACCACGTGTTTTTGGCTGTGAGACGTAGTTTGGACGAAGTTGTCGGCGATTTTTCTTATTGTAAAGTCATGCAATGTGAAAGTCCCTGTCGCCGATCCATCTTGCAGTGTAAACAAAGCAGCGACGAAACGCTAGCCCAGATAGTCAAGCAGTGTGAAAACATCTGTGACACGATTACTTTTAAAATCATGCAGTCTGAACTCAGCATTAGCTTGATATGACACTCATTTAATATGGCTGAAACTGGAAAATTATTCAAGTGGAAAACAAAAAGGTGTAGAAACCATTTTAAAAGTTGTCGGTCAATTTATTTTGAGCTAGAATAAATGAGAAATTCTGGAAAATAAATAGTATGTCTTGTTAAACATCCTCTTATTAGGTAGCTAAAGCCGAGTTCAGACTGCATGATTTTGAAAGTAATCGTGTCACAGATGTTTTCACACTGCTTGACTATCTGTGCTAGCGTTTCGTCGCTGCTTTGTTTACACTGCAAGATGGATCGGCGACAGGGACTTTCACATTGCATGACTTTACTAAAGGGAGAACCGTTGACAACTTCGTCCAAACTACGTCTCACAGCCAAAAACACGTCGTATATCTTTTGTTATTAACTGCATAATGAGAAAGAAGCCTTTAATGGGGTAGAAAATGTACATGTTTGCTCACCTGGGTTTAAAGGGAATTAGCCATTTCTCCTCAACGTTGATAATAAACTAATTTCTTTCTGTATGAACCGTCAAACAGACACGGTTGCTCCTGAGTCCTGTCAAACCTCCACTAGTTTTTCCTCCATTTTGTGGGTCCAAATCAGTGTTGCCATATTGGAAATGTCAAAGTATCGTACCAGATCCTCAAAATTATCGTATTTGGAGGAAAATTATCGTACACGAGTCAAACTGAGAGTATACAGCTATTATCTAGACACGTAGTGTTTTGACACAACGTGGAAATTACCACAATACGTTAAAAAAATTAGGTACCTTAATGGAAGGTTCAAATTCCACCTCTGAGTTTCTGTCATTGAATGTTGCCAGATGTTGAGGAATTTATTTTGCTGTACAAATTGGATGCCGTCATGGACTGCAAAATAGACTGGACTGCAAAATTTCAAGCTGGTTGGCTTGAAAGCAGTGCACACTCTGAGGTGTGCATGCTTTGTTTTGATGAGACTAACTTTGGAAAAAAAAACACATTCACATGACGCATTTGGATGGGGAAAAACGAGAACATAAAGGAAAAACTCCCCTGTCCTTCTCACCCTTCTTTAAAGCAGTGGTCACCAAACTTGTTCCTGGAGGGCCGGTGTCCTGCAGATTTTAGCTCCAACCCTAATCAAACACACCTCAACAAGCTAATCAAGGTCTTACTAGGTATACTTGAAACATCCAGGCAGGTGTGTTGAAGCAAGTTGGAGCTAAAACCTGCAGGGCACCGGCCCTCCAGGACCGAGATTGGTGACCCCTGCTTTAAAGCATGAATTGTTTTAATATTATTGCTTAAAAGATCAATCTCAAACTAAAAACTACTGACTTAACCACGGGCACGCGCAGCAGAAGCGTTAGCTCGTGAGAGAGAGAGCCATTCTCCATGTTGATTGGCTGAGAGGAGGCAACATAAGATGAGATAGAAAACATGCCTAACTCCACCTACTCCTCACAGACAGCACAGAAAAGATGCAGTAGATCAATAAGAAGCCCGATTTATAGAAGCCCGACATTATAGGATTTTTCTCATTATTGATCGTACATCGTACAGAGGTCGAAATTATCGTACAAATGCTATAATTATCGTACGTCTGGCAACACTGGTCCAAATAAACCGAAAAGAGCGCTTTAACTTCTCCCCCAGCCTCCCGCTGGCCTGCAGCAGGTTTACTCACACGCACACACACAAGTGAATGCCGCTCTCTCATTGGCTGTAGGCGATCGCTGATGTTATTTTCAGTCAAAACTCAATTCACACGGCATGATTTGAATCGCCGACAGCTCCAGATATTCAGCACGCCAAATATCTCCGGCATCGGCGATTCTCTCAGATCGCGTCTTTGATAGTTCATACTGTGTGATTGTCACTCACGTGCACGAGCAGCGATTTGCCTGTGATTTCAGGCATTTGTCGGAGATTTCTCCAAAACCTGTCGGCGAGCCAAAATCGGGGCTAAAATCACGCAGTCTGAACTAGGCATAAAACTATAAAACTAAACCATTTTTTAAGCAATATATTAAAGTGATAGGCAACACGGTGGCTCAGTGGTTAGAACTGTGGCCTTACAACACGATGGTCACTGGGTTAAGTCCCGGCTGTGCCAGGTGGCATTTCTGTGTGGAGTATTCATGTTCTCCCCGTGTTGGTGTGGGTTTCCTCCGGGTGCTCCGGTTTCCCCCAAAGTCCAAACACATGCGCTATAGGTGAATTGGGTGAAATTAGTGAGTGTGAATGAGTGTGTAAATAAGTAAAGGGTTTAGGCGGGTCCTTGAAAATGTCTCTGGGGGCCCCCTGAATGTATGGGCCCTAAGAATCATCCTAACTCCCCAAGTCCAGCATCTTCACATTGGCTTTAGTCTTGACGAGTGCAGATGAATGACTTGTGTCCCGGGAGCCCTGTGCAAGTATGGTGGTGCTATTGACACATGCTCAGGGCCCGTATGTGATATCTAGTGTATATATCTACGTGTGATTGAGCATGCTAGCAATGGGTTGAGTTGTTAGAAGTGTGTTAATCATGTTAGCAGTCGGTTATTTTCTAAACTATTTTAAGTTTCAGGCCAGTGAACTTCTTGAAGTTGTGTGCGAATGTTTGCTCTCTGCTTGATCTGGGTTGTCTTGTGTGTGCAGGAGCACGGGGGAATGCTGCGGATATTCCCCGAGGGTAAAGCTCAGTTTGCGGACATCGAACCCAAATTTGACCGTTTGCTTTTATTCTGGTCTGACAGACGAAACCCTCATGAGGTCCAGCCTGCGTATTCGACAAGGTCACCATTTCTGAAGTGCACACACAAACACACACACAGGCCAACACACACAATCACACACACACACACACACATGCAGAAACACATAGACACATAAACGCACACGCACACACTCACGCATACACGCACAGCCGCGCACACACACAAACACACACACACATATGCAGAAACACATAGACACATGCATGCACGCACAGAAACACAGACACATGCACACACACGCACACAAACATTTGCACAAGTGCAGACACACATTTACAGACACATGCAGATACACGCAGACAGACACACACACACACACGCAGACACACATTTACAGACACATGCAGATACACACACAGATTAACACACATGCAGACACACATACACACACAAACATGCTCTGACACTCACACAGACACACAAACAGACAGACACATGCACAAATACACACACGCACACAGACACACATAAACATTTGCACAAATGCAGACACACAATTACAGATACATGCAGATACACACACAGATTAACACACATGCAGACACACACACACATACAATTACATAGACACATGCACACACACAGACACACACACACATATGCAGAAACAAATAGACACACGCGCACGCACACACGCACACGCTCTGACACTCACACAGGCACACAAACAGACACACACATGCACAGATACACACACAAATAAGCACACACACACAGACACACACAAACATTTGCACAAATGCAGACACACATTTACAGACACATGCAGATACACACACACACACACACACACACACACATTTACATAGACACATGCACACACACACACACACACACACACACACACACACACACACACACATATGCAGAAACACATAGACACACGTGCACACACACACACACACACACACACACACACACACACACACTCTGACTCACACAGACACACAGACAGACACATGCACAGATACACACACAAATAAGCACACACAGACACACACAAATATTTGCACAAATGCAGACACACATTTACAGACACACACACACACACACACACACACACACACACACAGACAGACACAAACATTTGCACAAATGCAGACACACATTTACAGACACACACACACACACACACACACACACACACACACACACACACACACACACACACAGTGTTGCTGCTTTTTCTTTGATAACTCATAATCTTTGTCTTGTGTGTGTGTGTGTACGTGTTTTTGTGACATATCAGGACACAAATCTGTATAATGACATGGGTATGACACAGGTATTGCAAAAAGTAGGTGAAATATGAGGACACTGGTGACGTCTCCATTTCTCAAAAAGCCTCTAAATCCCACAGGATGAGTTTAATCAGAGAGTAAAGATGCACACAGTCTCCTGTGATGGTTGGGTTTAGGGGTGGGGTGGGCTGAGGGCAATACAATATATAGTTTGTGCAGCATAAAACGAATGGAAGCCTATGTAATGTCCCCACTTTTCACAAAAACAAACGTGTGTGTGTGTGTGTGTGTGTAGATATGCCATTACCGTGTGGTATTTTGATGCTGATGAGCGGGCCAGAGCGAAAGAAAAGTATCTTACAGGTAATCACCTCAATGGCACTGTTCATCCTGAGCCACTTGAACACGTAATTGGACATGATGCAGTCCTGATGGTTTGTTTTTGGTTTTGAATAGGTGCTGGTGAAAAAGGCGTGAAGGTGGAGCTAAACAAGCCGTCGGAACCAAGCTAATTAAGCTCTCATCGATCCAGACTGTTCCTGATTATCTGCTGCCGTGTGGATATAAAAAGACGAGAGTCGAAAAAAAGCAGCAAGACCAAGCAAGAGGAGGGGATGAAGACTGAATGATCAGAGGTTTGAAAAGCTGCTGAATTCCTTCCTCACAGAAGCAGCTGACTTTGAACATGGTTAAGGTTTAGCTTTTAAAGGTGCAGTACTCTGTGTGACATCACATTAAAGGGTCACGAAACACCAAAACACATGTGTTGAGCTGTTGACAGTCGTATATGTGTCCCACACTGCTAAAAACACTATTAGGACACCTATATTTCACTAAAAAGTGTAAATTGGTTGTTTTTGCGTTATTTCAAGCTAATTCGTACTTCCGGTTTGAAACTAATTTTTGAAGCTGCGTCACGGTCATGAGATAATAGCGTGTATTCCAGCGTGCAGACTGGACGTCTGTGCCAGAGTGTGTCTTATTACGTCTTACAGTGTGCTGCATTAATGCATGAGTAAAGCTTGGTTCAAACCAATCAGCGCACTCTATTGTGCAACTTCATTAATATTCATTACTGTCACAGTGTTTAGACGACAGAGACGCCACGTTGTGTTGGCAAAACAAGCGTGAAGTGTTGCTTTTATAGTTTTCTGCTGTTAAGTTTTGTTTTCATTTTCTCTCTGTGAGAGCTCAGCTGGAGTCACGTGTGGATTAACAGTGTACGCGACGCTCGACAACAATAACTTACGTGTCTAAGGAGGATTATTGTTTACCTGAGAGCTGTTCTCATCTGCAAACGCTGAGATCCGGATTTGCCTGTAGTCTCCTCTTAATAGAGACGCGGCTCTAGTTGCTGGTGATTGTCCTGTCTCTACAGATTTGGTTAGTGAGTGACCAGTGCTCTTTGTTTATTCAGTTTGTTCGTATCGAACTAAGTTAACTATTGCACCGAGTGTAAACATGTTAGCACTACAACCAAACTTTTTTTTTCTGACCGGAATAACACACGCGGCTTTCTGACGCTACCTGCCGTGTGCATCTAAGTTTCCGGGAAACGCAGAGTTTTTTTTTTTCTCTCATTCGCCGTGCGGTATCAAACATTGCGTGAAAAATACACGCTAAGAGCAGATCCTCTAATCAAATATCACGTTTGTCGGGAGGGGCATGAATGAATTCCCTGAATGAAAGAGCCAAACTGCAGTTAAAGTCCACCATTTAATAATTTGGCAAATAATTCGACTACAGATGTCCATGTAAACACCATCACTTTCTCCCGTGTGTTTGTATGTATTTTGACTCTGAAACTCGCACGTGCCCAAATAGACACTCCCACACCCTCCCACTTTAGTTCCTCCGACACTCCCCCCTAAACAGAGCTGGACACGCCCACTTTTCTGACTTTTTCCAAAGTAGAGGTGTGAAAACACCCTGCTGAAACGAGGGGGTTTCATGGCCCTTTAATGCTTCTCGTGTGACCAGAGTGCATCCTTCAGCTTAGTCCCTTATTCATGAGGGGTCGCCACAGTGGAATGAACCACCAACTATTCCAGCATATTTTATATGCAGCCCTTCCAGCCACAACCCAGTACTGAGAAACACCCATACACACATTCACACTCATACACTGCGGCCAATTTAGTTCATCAGTTCCCCTATAGTGCATGTGTTTGGACTGTGGGGGAAACCGGAGCACCCGGAGGAAACCCACAACACCACGGTGGAGAACATGCAAAGCCCATATAGAAATGCCAACTGGGCCAGCTGGGACTCAAACCAGCCACCTTCTTGCTGTGAGGTGACTAACCACTAAGCCACCGTGCCGCCATCTGAGGACTGTTCAAAAAGCTTCTGGGATGCGTTTTGAGCTGATCTTTGCTATTGGAGCACGTTTGCTTGTTTTTTTTCATCATCACTGCATCAGAGCTGGTCAGATAGTTTGTTCATACTCATGTACACACAATGCCATGCAACTTCCAGCATGTTTATCCAGGACTGTGAGCCGGCAGATGCATTATGGGAATGCTCTCTGCAATTGTCGCGTGCGTCAGGTCAGTGCAAGTCCAGTGTTGAAAGTCATTGTCTTTTAAGACCTGCACATTATTGTACACATTCAATGAAATAATAAAGAGCCTGTTTGCATTTACAGTGTTGCACTGATAATTATTCTGAGGGCCTACTCACACTATGCCATCCGTACCGTGCCCAGGCCCGTTTCCTGGATCGTTTGAGAAGTGTGAGTGCGCTGAATCGGGCTCAAGCACGGTTCACTTGGCCGGCCCTGGCCCGGTTGGAAGAGGTGTGCCTGGGCGCGATTTACTTGGGCTTTGGCGCGGTACGCTTGTTTGTGAGTGCAAAACGCGCCAAAGCCCGAAACTGAAAGCAAGACGTGACTTTTAAAGGGACTGTTTCATATGGATTTATTAATCATTCTTACTGTTCAGTGAACGCAAACTGCCGTAGTTTATTAAAGACGAGAACTCCTCACTGCATGACAGCTGCCTGGCTTCAGCAGACCTCCTCATTCCTGCAGCACGAGAGCTTTATGATTGTTTATGAGCGCCAAAAGTGGTGGATCTGTTCGGCGAAATATCTGACTGCGTGTCCCCGCATCCCTAAGGACTGTTTGGCGAAATATTTGACTGCATATCAAACGACTGAAACAATATAACTAGAGAAATCTCCACTGTGCTACTGTGTGAGAGAGCGCTTCTCACTGAACAGTGCAGCAGCGATGACGTAAGCGTGCCGAGGCCTGTTTGTGGTGTGAGCGCAGGCCGTCGGGGGAGATGGGAGGGGGGACAAGCGTGCTTTGGCCCGGTTCGAGGCAACTGTACCTAGTGTGAGTACGGCCTGAAATTAGTGTATTTTTGCCTAAAGCAGAATCCCAATTCTACCCTGTTTCGACTTTCAAGTTTGGCTCTAGGTTTTAAAGGAGGTAACATTTGATATGATTCAAATTTGTGGTGAATTGGTAGTAAAATAGCCCTTAGCCCTTCCCTCTCAATTCCCTCTCTTCCCTCTCTTCGCGTCTCAATTCTCTTTAGCTTCAAGGCGTAGAGCTAAGGGGAAGGGCTAGATACCCCTTTGAACTGAGATTTTTCAGGACCACACTCGAAACTAAGGGGTAAGAAAATTTCTCAGAATACACCAGCCACAACGGCAGGATAGTTGTACCAGTAAGTAAGGAGTCATTAATCTAGTTTAGTTATGTAACCATTTATAGTATAGTAAATATTTATATCTGAGTATTTGCACCATGTTTATTCAGACTTTGACGCATTATTTCTTATTTTCTTTTTTTTTTTTGTTCATTGTAAGTGGTGTTGTTTATGGTAACTGAAAATTTATTTGCAACAAAGTTTTTTGTGTGGGAAGAAGAAGACAGGGTCGGCGTTGAGGTAAGTGACCATTTTTATTATATGTCAGCTGGGTGTGGTTTGCTCAGCATCAAGGGCGCTGCTTGTCGCTCAGCTCTCTCTCCCGACTGTTCCTCCCGTTCTCCTTAAGAAGGGAGTCTCTCCGGCCCAATCACTAGAATAAACAGGTGTTATTTATTATTTCTGATTGGCCTGCTGATTAGCCGCCGGGCTCTGAGCATGCTCTCCCCCCTCATTGGGTGTCCGATCATGCTTACCTCTCCACAATATTATTTGGAAAAAGTCAAACTTGCTTCAGTGTTCTGTTATTTTGTAACAATCTTTCTGTGTAGTTCATTCCCAGAACTTTTGGTCAAATACATTGTCAGTAAATAAATGCACTAGTTTTTTCCCACTGAAAAACACCTTAGTCCAGGGGTGTCAAACTCAATTCCTGGAGGGCCGAAGCCCTGCACAGTTTAGTTCCAACCCTGCTCCAACACACTTACCTGTAGGTTTCAAACAAGCCTGAAGGACTCGATTAGTTTGATCAGGTGTGTTTAATTAGGGTTGGAACTAAACTGTGCAGAGCTGCGGCCCTTTTGAAACTGAGTTTGACACCTGTGCCTTAGAATAACATTGAAATAAATTGCTATAACTTGCTCAGAAAAGGTGGATGTAGACAAATATAATAAATAAATATAAAATATCATAGCATGTATTTCTAAAAAGCAAAATAAATAAATAAATAAACTTCATGAGGTTTTGTTTGTAATAACTAGAAAATGCCACTTTTTTATTATTTTATGTTTTTCTTAAATTCTGAGATATTTTCTGTCTGCTTATATGTTTTTGGACCAAAAAATATTTTAGACTGGACCTTTAAATGATAAAGATTGAAGCTTCAGGTTCTCCTGTTTAAAATAATATATGACACTTGAGGCTGACTGCTAAAATAACAATAAAACTGCTTTAAAAATATATATATAGGCCCTTTAGGTGCCCACAAAATACCTTTAGGTCTTTAAGGGTTACAAAAAAAAAAAAAAAAAAAAAAAAAAAAAACGCTAAAATAAAAACAAATTTCGCTAAATTTCATTATCTATAATCCATAATAATAACTGCTGTACAGCAGTCCCACAACATTCTGACACTCGATGACTCGAATACCCTGTCAGTAATGTTTAGTTGCTGAGAATGAGCTTTTACAGCGTCTGCTATAGTGTTAAGGTTGTTTTCGTGTGTTTACATAGATGAATATGTCCACGGTGTAAACACACACTATAGTTACGATCTTATTGCCACATTAAATCATTATGATAACATGATATCGTTGCCTTCAGTGATTTCCTAAAGATAAATACTAAAAAATAACACCACTGGAATAACTCCAGCAGTCGCAATCGTCAGATCTCATATGAAGCAAGAGATCGCGATGACATATGATGACGTGTGCAGGTGCTGTTGTGCTGTCATTTCTTTGGGGTACATTTTGAGGCTCTTCCCCTTCACACTCGGTTTTAAGGGCCAAGGGGAAGAGGAAGGGGTAGAGGTACAACAATAGAATTGGGATTGGGCCCAAGTCATGTGCTTTAACTGGTTAGACCATAAATACAGTGGAGGAAATAAGTATTGAACTCATTGTCATGTTTTTTCCTGGTGAATAATATTTATAAAGGAGCTGCTGACATGGAGTTGAAGCAGATTTTGGTTTAAAAACCCAAACAATACAAACATAAAAATAAAACAAAACATAAATCTGAAAATTAGTTCTGTTTAAAAAGCAATGAAATGACAGGAGAAAGCACTGAACTACTGAAATGTGTTTAATACTTTATGTAAAAGATTGCTTTGGTGACGGCAGCTTAAAGACGCCTCTCATATGGAGAATGAAGTCACATGCATTGCTCAGGTGTGAGATTCTCAAAGACTTCAACAGAGTGTCAAAATCTTGATG